TTTTTTGTTCAACAAGTACCAAGTTAGAAACATCACAGTTTTAAAAGGTCCAATGCAGAAAAGCGCAAGGTCAATGTTATAAACATACTCAACTACTGATGGATCGCAGAAGTTTTTTTAAACAATTGTCCCTTCTGTGAGGTGCATAGGAATAGAAACTTGTGTTGTCAAGAGAGCTAAATTATTACTGTTCTAGATGCCTATTAGCTTCACTAAGGATATATTTACTCCTTCATCTGCCTTGAACTACAACTGCTGACACTGTGACAAATGGCCTGTAGCAAGTTTAATCTTAACAGAGGTCCCATACCCTTGTCACAAGTCCAACTGGTCTGGTGTGTAGCTACAGATCAGTTTTCTGAGTAGTCACTCCCTCCACAAGCCTGCAGTTTGGTTGGTAAGAGCCTTGCATTTAGCAGACCAACTTGTATTTCAAAGCTCTATGAAAACTATGAGGCCAGGACATGAACTTGAAAGATCCCACCTACAATTCTTGTTGCATCGAAAATGTGTAGGTGCTGTCTAACAATTTCTAAGGTTATTCACTGAATATGTTTGCCTGGTTGCTTTAAAGCAAGGAAACTCTGAGCATATTGATTTAATTTAATAGCAGGCTTTTGGAAAACAAGGCATAGCAATGTCTCCAGCAGGATAACCTTGAATTAATCCCATAACACAGAGGGGCCCCTTCCCACCTAATTTACTGCTTTGGCTCCAGCAAATGTTCACAGCTCATTTTACCAGAGACAAGGATGGATAGATCAAGATCAAGGACAGTGAACAGTTAACAAATCCCATCCAGTCGGAGAGAAGCAATTCAAGGAAAACCATCCAGCAGCCACAGTGCCTATTTGGGCGCTATGTTACTATAGCAACACCACAAATTTTGGTAGCTTACCATATCCCTAAGAATATGGTTATGCAATATCACTTCATTGAATTACAACAGTGTTACACATAACATCTGCAGCAGTTAAAAGCAATGCCTCCACAGCCATTACCATCCTTTAAAGGATACACTGCCTAAGCGGAGTCATGGTAAGGTCTTCTGCCAAGTCCCTACCTTTGCCCTGGGGTAACTCTTCAAAGAGGTTATGGGTAAAGCAGATCAAATTAAAACTCCAGGTTTTTCTAATAATAAATTGTGCTCATTACGCAGGGACTCAGACACTACAGTGATGATGAAGCTTACAAAATACTCTACCTTGCGAGAAGCATTTTTGTCCGTGCTCTCCACATCACCGTCCAAGAACGGCATGGCAAACGAGCTGAGATCCTGTCAGGAGAGAGAGCAAAAATTGATGTCATGAATGAATGTCTTGAATTAATTCTTCCTTCCACAGATAATCCCATGAGTCAAGACCACTGCTTTATTTCTGAAATGCTCACTTGTTTATCTATATTCATATGCATATCCAGCTACTGGTGAGTAACAATTTGGACTCTACTGGTTCCCCTTGCCTTGGAAATCAACGTGACAAGTTTTTAGAGTGTCTCTAGGAGGGCTCGCACTGGAGGACCTTGCAAAAGGCAATCAGCCTTTGGACAGCCAGTGTAGGTCATGGGCTAAAACTCTCAAAGGGAGTTACCACAGAAAAAGGCACAAGAAATTACAATCTAAATATAGCTACTTGATCAGCCAATGGCATATCTTGCCTTTAGTGGGGACTGTAATCTTATTTTAAAGAGCATTTATGGCAATAAACAAAACTCAAGTGAGAGTATGTCAATGTTGTGAAAATATGTAACATACACAGCAAAGAGGGAGAAGACAGAGAAGGCAGAGGAAAAACAACCAGTTCATTTTCACAACTTAGAGATGCTCACATAATTCTGTGGGACTAAAGAAAACAAAACCATAAGACAAGGACACATGCTCGTCTTTAACAAAAACAAATTGCAATTATATTCCACCTCCTGCTGTCTGTTCTGTTTACGCTATTTTGTGTTCCAGTCGTGGGACTTTGAGAGAGACATAATGAAATTTTCTTTGCAAACATCGAGTTTAGCAGCAGTTCGATCAGAAAAGCAGATACTGAGTGAAGACCAAGATGACCAAATCACCTGATGCCGGGTGCCAAAGATCTGCAGAGGAAGACCTGAGGCTTGGATCCCCAAACTTCTCCTTAATATAGAATCTCTCTGATGCAAGGCATCACCCTTTAAATGCGATGATTCACTCTTTCAACAGCATGACACCTGCATCCCATTTAAAATCGTTAAAACATAAATAAACAGCAATTCCAATTTTAATTGAGATTAAATAGAGTTTAATTAAAAATTACCACTGGCTGAGAAGTTTGCACGGCTTGCTTGCCAAAGGACTTTAGAATTCAGAACAGCCACAGGTCTAATCACATCACATTGTGTAATCATACTAAATCCAAATATGCTTAAAAATGTGTATAACTCAGTCATAATCCTTACAAGTGTTTGAAAATATTCTGGTTACATAATGAACAACAAAAATATGGAACAAAATATTGAATTACTGGAACTGAAGCTCATGGGAGTAATTCATGCCAAGTTAAAAGAAAAGCAAAGCAGCGGCTACACTTGGCCAAACTGGCCCTGAGTTGTTAGGCCATAAACCAAAGTATTCATCACAAATTATTATGCTTCAAGCTCCATCTATGCAAGTTCAATGGGAACTCTGCACAAAGCACCAAACTACAAAGTACCAGCAGAACCCTACAAAACGTCACCCTCATTAGTGTTTTGACATATGTGTTTCATATTGTAATAATTTGCAAATGCAAACGCAAACAAGTGTCTCAAAACCCAGAAAGAGTCATTTTGTTTGACTTGAAGTTCGACTGTTATCAAGGCTTGACTGAGGCTGACCCAGGCACCATGGGTGTTAAATAAAATCTTCTTTATCTGTTGGCTTATTCTTCCATTTGGTAAAGACCAAAGATGACTTACTCCATATAAAAGCTATCTGTCTATAAACAGCATTTATAAACACTGTTAATAAGTGAATTACTATATTACTACTTCATCTGTTACTACAAGACTTAAGTGATGAATCTCCGTGAAGAATTTTAAGAGCCTAATGGAAAGTTACACAAAAACACATCCCCTAATGTTTACTTTAATTTTGCCACGGGATTTACCAACATTTTCTTCTACCCATCTTTGGTAGTGAAGAAGATGAAATCTCATGTGTGCTATGTCCTTTTCCATGGAGTAAATCAAGGGAATAACTCTTTTGAGCTCTACATATGAATGTTCCTATGCTACTACTTTTGGTAATTCACGTGCTGTTCAAAAAGACTGGAGGCTGAAGAAATGGGATTTAAAGGGGCCCTTATATCTGGCCATCAGGCTTGAATAAGAGATTCAGGAAATCTGGAACATCAGGGAAAGGAACTGTAACTTCTCTTTTGAGCAGAAATCTTCAAAGCTAGGAAGGGGTACATATAACTATTTCCCTAGGATCTAAACTTCAGCTGCCTGTTACAATTTCGAGCTTAAAAATATATGAATATTGTATTGTCACAATTAAAAGTACCATGAAACTCACACGATATTTTTGTTTTCTGATTTGTACCTCTCAAATATCATGGAGGCATACTTATTTTTTTTCTGTCTTCAAATGCAGAACAGTAGACCTCCAGTTCTAAACAGAAATAGCTGAAGCTCTACCAGAACCTCTTTGCATGAGACCTTTCTTTGCTAACACTGCTGGAGAACACTTTAAACAGGCAGATAACTGAACTTCCAGGTCTGTAACAGTGTCCCCAGGTGAGGCTACCGCCTAACAATTTTTCCAAATTTTTCCATCTTTCACTCCTTCATAGGATTCAAGCCATAGTGAGATTCATTTACAGAAGGAAAAAAAAAAAGACATATTTCAAGGGCCAGGTTGCAAACACTGCTCTCATATCTGACCGAAGAAATGTTGGATACTTATTTCCTCTTTGCATGTAGCTCTGCGGAATACAAAACAGATACTTGTTTGTTCTTCCTGTTCTTTTTCATCCAGAAGCATATACGACTAGATGTTGATACGCACGGATAGTTGATGTTGATAGACATGGATAATGTATCTCCTTTTTTTATATGTATATAAAAAAGTACCTCTTAAAAATGATAAGAACGGATTCAAAAGTGTTGCAAAACATCAGCAGTACATCTCGATGGCTGGTCTGGCTCCTCTGATCTTATGCCAACTGATAAAAGAATAAATGGCATCCCTCCCTATATCTGTCAGGTTTAGCATTACAGCCTCTGCTAGAAATCTGTGGAGACCAATGACTACGGTAACCTCCCATAACTAAGAAAAGCTGGCAGAAAGCACAGCTCCTAGGGATGCTAATTTGGATTTAAGACTATGCCAAGACTATTGTGAAAGGTTTTGTTAGCTTTTCTATTATGTTGCTGTTCCTCTCCCCTCCACTCTGATAGAAAATCCTCCAAATGGCAAAAAACATAATTGCAGTTGCCCCACTGGAAAATATTCTAAGAGGCAGGACAAGTAAAAGATAAACCACCATACATGGTACTTCTCAAGTGGAGGGGTTGTACATAAGGTATTTGCTAACTGAACTGAAGCATTTCGAGAAAAACTTCTTTAGGCTGAGGGTGGGGAGAGAGATCTGCCAAAGAGGTGAAATTTAGACTCTCAATTCTGAAAACTGCCTTTTATGATATTTCAAATTTAGTGTTTCTTCTCCAGAGAGAGCTTCTGATGTCTCATTTGGTTATGGCTGAAGGAAGAAGGGAATCTCTGAGGTCTCTCTTTTTTTTTTTTTTTCCCCAGCTGAATTTAACTCTAATGCCAAGTAAGATATAAGATCATTTTATATTGAAGTGATGCAACGCTGAAATTTTCCCTCTCATTTTTATGACGATGGCAATCTCTGCTAGCCCTTCACGTCACTCAGTGCTCTACATCAGCCAGATATTGCTTCTCTCAACTAAAAGAAAAAGACTTCTTGTACAGTTTGGATTTACTCTACAGCCACAGGGCCATTTCAAATTTATTTTGTTCTCAATCAAAGTTGTCATGGTAGCTCGTGTTATAGTCAATGAGGAATGCAGCTGCTGGACATCAGAGCCAGAGCTGCTTTATCCAGAGGACCAGCAGAGCTGTAGCCCTGTGCTCCTGCTATCAGCTGGTGCCTGACTGGGAGAGAAATATCCCACAGCTGCTACTAAACAGCTGATTTTCCGTGACACTTTTTCTTGTTAGCACAAGGGACAACAGTCACTCACAGAGTTTTATGCATGGCTCCAGCAGAAACATGGAAGCAGCAGACAGATACAAAAAAGCAATTAAATCGATTTTTTTTATTAACCTTGACTGCTGTTTTATTTTTTCCAGGGGATAAATCAGCATAATTCTGTCTGCAAGTGCACTTATGTTCTTTTCTTCTTTTACTATTTCCTCTGGGGGATAGTTGGGCACTTGGAAAGTTACTGATTCTTCACCCTACTCCTGAAAATAACCTCAGAATATTTCACCTCCAAAGACGAGACTAATTCAAAGGTGGTCACTCTGTGGAAGACTCCTAAAGGAGCGATCCTTGCTCCCAAAGAAATGAACATGTAGACACCTCATTCCTCCTCGACCCCCCTCATTCCTTTCATGGCTCTTATACCAAAATGCTTAGAGTTACTTGAAGAAAAATAAAATTTTGGTTCTTTGATTTCTTGGGAAAACAAAGTCACATAAATATCCCTTTCGCAAAGCTGTTTTGGAGAGTGGAAAGGAAAAACTGTATTTTAGGATACAGACAGCTGGCATAGCATAGCCAAATGGCAAGAGGAACAAGATCTGGTTAGCCAAGTCCGTCCGCACCTTTTCCAGAGAGTTTCCCTTCTCCTTTCCTTGCTAGTGAGGGCTCCTGCCAGAAAGGCTGCCCAGACACGCTGGTCTGGTTGCTGTAGTTGGGGACCTTGGTGTCGGAAGATGGTTTCCAGCAATTCAGTTGCAGAGGCTGCAAGTTTAAATAACAGGCCAGTAAAGCCTTGAATCCAGTAAACAAGATATTAAGAATTAAAGGAATCTTTTTTATTTGCTTCAAGGCTCCTTCGGTAGCCAGGCTGATGAAGCTTTCCTGGAACTGCTGAAGCCAAGGAGCCAGTAAGGCCCTCCAGGACCTCCTGGGATTGACAGGTCAAAGCCCTCTTTCCAAGGTGTGTAGGGTGGGGGAAAGACCTTCTGAAGGCCCCAAGGACCCCACCGTAGTGACCTGCAAAGTTAACTCTTCCGAGGCCAGAGCAATGGCAAGGCAGAGGTGGCCCTTCTCTTATACGCGATGTGCTGGA